GGAGCCCCGGAGGTCGCCGACCCCGAGACGGAGGCCCCGGAAGGAGGCCCGAGAGAGACGGAGGTCGCCCCGGAGGTCGGAGGGCCCCGAGACCCCGGAGAGGCCCCGGAGGTCGACCCCCGAGAGACGGAGGCCCCGGAGGTCGACCCACGAGAAAGGAGGCCCGGAGGTCGAGCCAGAGACGGAGGCCCCGAAGGTCGACCGAGACGGAGGCCCGGAGGTCGACCTCCCAGACGGAGGCCGGAGGTCGACCGAGAAGGAGGCCCGGAGGTCGACCCGAGACGGAGACCCCGGAGGTCGCGACCCGAGACGGAGGCCCCGGAGGACGACCCCGAGTCGACGAGGAGGCCCCGGAGGTCGAGTCCGAGGCGGAGGTAGGCGAGGTCGAAGACGACCCCGGAGGTGAGACGGAGGCCCCCGAGACGGAGGCCCCGAAGGTCGACCCCCAGACGGAGGACCCGGAGGTCGACCCCGACGGAGGAGGTCGCGAGGAGGCCCGAAGGTCGACCCCGAGACGGAGGCCCCGAAGGTCGACCCCGAGACGGAGGCCCGAGACGGAGGCCCCGAAGGTCGACCCGAGACGGAGGCCCCGAAGGTCGAAGAGACGGAGCGGAGGTCGACCCGAACGGAGGCCCCCGAGTCCGAGACGGAGGCCGGAGGTCGACCCCGAAACGGAGGCCCGGAGGTCGAGCCGAGACGGAGGCCCGAAGGTCGACCCCGAGACGGAGGCCAGTCCGAGTCGACCCGAAACGGAGGCCCCGGAGGTCGAGCCCCGAGACGGAGGGCCCCGAAGGACCGAGACGGAGGCCCCCCGAGACGGAGGCCCCGGAGGTCGACCCCGAGACGGAGGCCCCGAAGGTCGAGCCCGAGACGGAGGCCCCGGAGGTCGACCCCGAGACGGAGGCCCCGGAGGTCGACCCCGAGACGGAGGACCCCCGAGACGGAGGCCCGAAGGTCGACCCCGAGACGAAGGTTCGACGGAGGTCGACCCCGAACGGAGGCCCCGGAGGTCGACCCCGAGACGGAGGCCCGAAGGTCGACCCCGAGACGGGAGGTCGACCCCGAGACGGAGGCCCCGAAGGGTCCGACCGAGACGGAGGCCCCGGAGGTCGACCCGAAAGGCGGAGGCCCCGGAAGGTCGACCCCGAGAACGGACGGAGGTCGGTCGACCCCGAGGACGAGAAGGCCGAGAGAGTGTGGACCCCGAGACGGAGAGGTCGGGTCGCCCGAGAGGAAGGTCGGAGGTCGACCCGAGACGGAGGCCCGAGTCGAAGGTCCCCGAGACGGAGGCCCCCGAGGTCGGACCCCGAGACGGAGGACCCCGGGGGTCGATCGAGATCCGAGACGGAGCCCGACGAGGAAGGTCGAGCCACGGAGGTCGGCCCGAGAGCGGAGGCCCCGGAAGGGAACGTGACGGGAGGCCCCGGAGGTCGACCCGGGAACGGAGGCCCCGAAGGTCGACCCCGAGAGCGGAGGCCCGAAGGTGGCCGAGAACGGAGGCCCCGGAGGTCGACGCCCGAGAACGGAGGCCCGGAAGGTCGACCCCGAGACGGAAGGCCCGCGGAGGTCGAGCCCGAGACGGAGGCCTCGGAGGTCGACACCCGAAACGGGGCCAGGAGGTCGACCCGAGACGGAGGCCCGAAGGTCGACCGAGACCGAGACGGAGGCGGAGGTTCGACCGGTTAGGAGGCCCGAGGTCGACCCGAACGGAAGGCGCCGGAGGTCGACCCGGACGGAGGCCCCGAAGGTCGGACCGAAGGAGGCCCGAAGGTTCGACCGAGACAGAGGCCGAAGGTGCGAGTCCGAGACCGAGAAGGAGGCACAGGAGGTCGAGACGAAGGAGGACTTGGAGGTCGAGACCCGAGACGGAGCCACAGGAGGTCGAGACGAGAAGGAGGCCCTGGAGGTCGAGACGAAGAAGGAGGCCCCGGAGGCGAGACCCCCGAGACGGAGGCCGCCGAAGGTCGACCCCGAGACGGAGGCCCCGGAGGTTGTCGACTGCCCGAGAACGGAGGCCCCGGAAAAGGTCGACCCCGAGACCGGAGGCCCGGAGGTCGACCCGAGACGGAGGCTCCGCGAAGGTTCCGACCCCCGAGACGGAGGCCCCGAAGTCGAGCCGAGACCGAGGGCCCCGAAGGTCGAGTCCCCGAGAAACGAGGCACAGGAAGGGCGAGACCGAGAAGGAGGCCCTGGAGGTCGACCCCGGAGACCGAGAAGGAGTCACAGGAGGTCGAGACGAAGGAGGACTTGGAGGTCGAGCCCCGATAGGAGGCGCCCGGAGGTCGACCCCGAGACGGAGGCCCCGAAGGTCGACCACGTGACGGAGGCCCCCGGAGGTGACCCCGAGACGGAGGCCCGCGAAGGTCGACCCGAAACGGAGGCCCCCGGAGGTCGATCCGAGACCGAGGCCCCGAGGTCGAGTCCGATACGAGGCCCCGAAGGTCGACCCCGAAGACGGAGGCCCCGAAGCGTCGACCCCGAAACGGAGGCCCCGGAGGTCGAGCCCGAGACCCGAGGCCCTGTTGAGGTCGAGCCGAGACCGAGAAGGAGGCACAGGAGGTCGAAGACGAAGAGGACTTGGAGGTCGAGCCCAGAAGAGGGCCGCTGACGGAGGAAAACCGAGACGGAGGACGCTGGAGGTGACCCCGGAGAGCGGAGAGCCACGGAGGTGGACCGGCACGATACGGGAGGCCGACCGGAGGTCGGCCCCGAAGGTCGACACTGCCAGGAGGACGGAGGCCCGGAGGTCGACCCGAGACGAGGCCCCGAAAGGTGCGACGCCGGAGACGGAGGCCCCGGAGGTGCGACTCCCGAGACGGAGGCCACCGAAGGTGACCCCGGAGACGGAGGCCCCGAATGGTCGAGTCCGAGACGGAAGAGGCACAGGAGGTCGACCCGCCAAAACGGAGGCGCCGCCGAGTTTTCGACTCCGAGACGAGAGCCCCGAAGGTCGAGTCCGGAGACGGGAGGCACAGGAAGGTCGACCCCCGAAACGGAGGCCCCGGAGGTCGACCCCGAGACGGAGCCCCGGGAAGGTCGAGTCCTGGAGACGGAAGGCCCCGGAGGTCGACCAGAGACGGAGGCCCCGAAAGGTCGAGTCGCGAGACGGCGGAGGACCCGGAGGTCGGACGCCGCGAGACGGAGGCCCCGAAGGTCGGACCACCGAGACGGAGGCCCGAGGTCGACCCCGAGACGGGAGGCCCCGAAGGTCGACCCGCGAGACGGAGGCCTCGGGAAGGTCGACCCCGGAGGTCGACCCCGAGATCAGAGGCCCGGAGGTCGACCCCGAAGAGGAGGACCTGGAGGTCGACCGCCGAGACGGAGGTCCCCGAAGGTCCGACCGCCGAGACGAGGCCCCGGAGGTTCGACCCCGAGACGGAGGAACCTGGAGGTCGGACCCGAGACGGGAGGCACGCCCGGAGGTGGACCCGATACGGAGGCCCCGGAGGTCGAAGCCCGAAATACGAGGCCGCCGAAGGTCCGACCCGCGAGACGGAAGGGCCCCGAAGTCGACCCGAGAACGCGAGGCCCCGAAGGTCGAGTCCGAGACGGGGGCAACAGGAGGGCGAGACGGAGAAGGAGGCCCTGAGGTCGAGCCCGAGAACGGAGCCACAGGAGGTCCGAGACCGCGAGAAGAGAGGCACAGGAAGGTGAGACGAAGGAGGACTTAGAGGTCGAGCGAGACGGAGCGCACAGGAGGTCAGACGCGAGAAGGAGGCCCCCTGGAAGGTCGAAGACGAAGAAGGAAGGCCCTGGAGGGTCGAGCCCGAGACGGAGACCCGAGACGGAGACCCCGGAGGTCGAGACCGAAGAAGGAGGCAGCACGGAGGTCGAGACGAAGAAGGAGGCCCCCGGAGGTCGTTCCACGAGCCCCGAAGGTCGCTTATGAATGTCATAAAGGAACCTTGCTCGTCTAACCTGGCTCGGAGACCAGGACAATGCTCTCCAAAATAGCTGCCGATGAAACTAAAGGCAGCGCTGGAAAGCACTCCGCCGAGGAATCGGGGAACGACCACACCGCGGGACAAAGAAGCCTTTCGGCCGTCCGAGCCCTAAGCTTGCCATGCCACAGGAATTCCTTCGCCCGGAGGTTCTCGAATCTCTCCGATAAGATATTGAAAATTCAGTTGAGCCTGAGATGGACGGGGGGCCTCAGAAGGAAGGCAAGACGCCTGAGAACGGTGACTTGTGGCCAGTCCACAAGTGCTGAAGGGAAGATGAGGCAACTGCCCTCACTCCCAACGGCAACTGAGACCATGAATATAAATAATAAACATATAACACATACACACTCATTATAATGATAATAACAGCCACACAGGCGCATAGAATCACGTACATAGACATATGCCTCTCTCTCTGTCTTTGTTTCTCTTCTCTCTCTCCTCTCTCGCGTCTCTCTCTCTCTCTTCTCTCTCCCTCTCTCTCTCTCTCTCTCCCTCTGCTCTCTCTCTCTCATCTCTCTTCCTTTTAATAAATGTAATGGATACTCATAATAATAAAATTTGCATAATCACATTCATATACATTATATGTGTCTATACTATATATATATATATATATTATATAATACAGGATATACTATATCATCTATATAGTATGATATATCTATATCTATATATATATGATATATATATTAATATATATAGTATAGTATAAGTTATAGTATGTATCTAGTATATATTAGCACACCACATATACATAGGGGATATATATATATCAGTATAAATACTAAAATATAGTCATTTAAAAACTAGTGAGATGGTAAAAGACAAAAAAACAAATTGGTAATTAGTATAATGTATATGTCATATAGGTAGGTAGTGTAGAATATAAGGACGTATATTATTCGACAGCGAGGATTCGTGTAAAATGAAGCATCATCAGTGTAGGTAGTAAGTAGCAAAATTATCAAAATACCAAGACAAGCCGAAAACAAAAGTATTAATTATGATGGTCAATATAAACTATAATTCGATAGCGAAAATGCGATGAGTCTGATAATTCAAGAAAACAGAAACATTCGCAAAAAAACGCTCATATAGAATTCCTAAAAACTGCAGATTATCGAAAAACAAAAGGTCAAAAGATCTAACTTATAATTTCTAGAAATCTCTAATTCAGGAATTAAATAGAGGATGCAACGAACAGGAATGAAGGCCACCTTCCAGCCAAAAGTTCTAACCCTTTTACACCCTCCATGATCAAAAAACAGTATTTCAAGACCTTTGAAAATTCAAAACCAATAATGCCGAAACTAAAGAATGTATGCAAAATATTGATTTTGATAAAAAGCTAGAATTCGAATGAAGAATTCTATATTACATACAAAATTGAAAATAAGACTTACTTAAAAAACAATTATTTAAAACTAAGAATGCAACAAGAATTCGATAACAAGAATGCAAAACCATATATTCAAAACAGAATGTAAAATAATATAATTTTTAAAAAATACGAAGGAATTCAAAAACAAGCTCAAAAGCAAGGCCAAATGCCAGAATTAAAAAAAATGGGAAATGTCAGAAAAAAAAAATCAAAAATCAAAGATTTATAGAAATTAAGCAAACTCCAAACACAGTAAGAAATTCAAATGAAAAAATAGAAAGAAACAGCAAAATCTACAATTCGAAAAGCTAGAATTCAGAACCGAGAATTTAAACGGGTTAGAATCCGAAAAAAAGCACCAGAGAAATTAAAAAGTAGAATAATGAAATCTAACAAATATACATAAGCCCAGAATTAAAACAAAAAACAAAATTAAAGGACCTGCTCGGCCAATTCTTCCGAAATGCTAGAAGTTCCAAAGCTAGAATTGTAAAAAAAAAAAAATCCAAATCTACAATACAAACCTAGGGAGGCGAGAATCCAAGGGACTGCAGGAATTCACAGGGAAAAAAAACATATACCAAAGACAAAATAAACTCCGACATACATTCTCTGCCGAAGCTCACTTTAGAAAGAGAAGCCCGAAGTCGAGAAAGGACCAGAAAGATGGTCCGCGGCGTTGAAAAATAGAACATACTAGCATTTGTGAGTTGCCTGTCCAGCGGTCAGGGCGAAAAGAAAAGACAAGTCAAATTGGCTACTTTTGGCAGACTCTGAACGTCAGACTTGAGAGACCTGTCAAACAGAGGTCAGGTGAGAATTGCTGCCAGATTTTCATCGCAGTGAGGGAGAAGTGAAGGTATTGAATAAGCACTAGACAGTAGGTTGACGTGATCATCTTTGCAACATGTCAATTTAATGTTTGGCTGAATTGGCCTCAGGAGATCTGTTAAGCAGCCTCAGGTGAGAATATGCTGCAGATTTTCATTCAGTGAGGGAGAAGTGAGGTATTAAATAAGCACTACCAGTAGGTAAACGTGATCATCTTCGCAACATGTCAGTTCGCAAGTTTGGCTGAATCGGCCCGAGAGATCTGTTAAGCTGTCTGGGTGTGAGAAATATGCTGCAGATTTTCATTCCTAGTGAGGGTGAAGTGAGGTATTAATAAGCACTAACCAGTAGGTTGACGTGATCATCTTTGCAACATGTCAATTCGCATGTTTGGCTGTACGGCCCGAGAGATCTGTTAAGCTGTCTGAGGTGAAGATATGCTGCAGTATTTTCATCTAACGAAAGGAGAAGTGAGGTGTCTTAAATTAACCACTAAATAGGTTTTAAGCATGATAAATCTTTGCAGGATCTCCGAAGCAGGACAGTGTAATTCCGACTGAACAGACCAATTAACGAATCATATATGCTTTTTTCAAATGTCAAGGGAGATCAAGAGTGACTTAGAATTTTGTAAAACAGCCGACAAATTAGAATAAGGAAGATAAATGCCGTTTTTTATCTGCATCCTTTATTTTTAAAAGCCTTCAAATTTCATATCCAAAATATGACATTATTAAAAAAGAAAATCGAAAGCACCAGTCAAAAGACATAGCAACAGGAATTTTCGAAATAGGAAAGAGGTCGAAGTAGCATGTACCCCCCATTTCATTAAACATAACAGCTAAGCAACAGACACTCCAAGTCCTTAATTTGAAATAATAAAAAACTCGACGGATTCCAAAAAAATATTTCCCACATGTGGTAACGCCAGAGTTTAAAAACAAGGAATAGACCATCGGACTCAGAAGTTATATAAAAATGTGTAAACTGGTCCTATAAGATATAAAAAAAGATATATAAGAATATGGTGTGCGTGCGTGTGTGTGTGTGTGTGTGTGTGTGTGTGTGTGTGTGTGTGTGTGTGTGTGTGTGTGTGTGTGTGTGTGTTGTGTGTGGCGCGCGCCTTAATCACGAACATACCCCAGATATTGCAGAGTAAATGAGCTAGAAACTTTCTGCCTTGGAATTTTTAATATTAATGTGAAAGGAAATCAGAAATCACTGATACCAATCGCCTATAATGAAATGAAAAAAAATGAGAAAGCGGAATAAGGACCATAATCGATACAACGAAAAATACAGAATGGCATCGAAAGAGTTTGAGACAAAAATAATTTTAAGAAATTTTAAACCGTTAACGTAAGATGCTTTCCGTAAACGAAATGAAATATACAATAATTTTCAGGAATTTAAAGGACCAACGGCTAAGCCTTAAAAGTTCACTGCCCTTCAAAATAGGTATAGAATGATGATTAATGGTATTAATGATAAAAGTAATGACCCGGCAAAACATAATAATGATGATGATAATTATAATTGAATTAATATTAACAATTAATGGGCAATGGAGGCAAGAATATAGTGTTATTAATATATAAATAATAGAATAACCTGAAAATGAAATGATATGAATAATTATACTAAGAAGGGAAAAGAACACCTAACAAGGAAAAATTCCAACCAAAGATCTGAACCATCTCTGGGGGCTTTTTTTTAATCTTAAATTTAGTTCTTGGAAACAGTAGGAGGAAGATTAACGTATGCTCTATTCTCTTTGAAACTAATTCAAACAGGCACATTTGTTTACCTGGAGTCTCTTCTGGTAAACAATATACAAGCATATACGTTAGATCTTCCTCCAAACTTTTTTTTCCAAGAACTAAATTTATAGATTAAAAAAGGCCCCAGGAATGGTTCAGATCTTGGTGAATTTTTCCTTTGTAGTGTTTTTTTTTTCCTTCTTAGTATAATAATTCATATCATCATTTTCGTTATTACTATTATTTTATATTTAATAACACTATTATTATTGCCATCATTGCCATTAATGTTAATATTAATATCATATAATTATCATCATCATTATTATTGTTTTGGGTATTACTATTATCATTAATACCATTATCATCATTTTTATACCTATTTTGAAGGGGTTCACTTAAGCTAGCCGTTGTCTTTAAATTCCTGAAAATCATGTATATTTCATATTCGTTTACGGAAAGCATCTACGTTAACGTTAAAATTATCAAAACTCTTTCGATGCCATTCTGTATTTTCTTTATCGATATGGTCTTATTCGCTTTCTCATTTTCATTTCCTTATAGGCATTGGTATCAGTGATTTTCTTATTTCCTTCACATTAATATTAAAATTCCAAGCAGAAAGTCCTAGCTCATTTACTCTGCAATATCTGGGGTATGTGCGTGATTTAAGGCGCTGCGCGCACACACACACACACACACACACACACACAACACACATCACACACACACACACACACACAGCACACACAACACACACACACACACACACACGCACACGCACACACACACAATATTCTTTTATCTTTATATCTTAAGACAAGTTTTCACTAATAACTTCTGAGTCCGATGGTATCCCTTGATTAAAAACTCTGGCGTACCACAGGGAAGTATTTTGAATCCTCGAGTTTTTATATTTCAAATAAGGACTTGGGGTATGTGGTTAGCTGTTATGTTAATTAAATGGGTACTTTACTTCGATCCTCTTCCTATTTTAGAAAATTCCTGTTGCTATGTCTTTTGATTGGGGTTTCGATTTTCTTTTAATAATGTCAAATTTTGGATATGTATTGAAGGCTTTTAAAAATAAAGACTGCAAGATAAAATGCATTTCTTTTCCTTATTCTAATTTGTCGGCTGTTTTACAAATTCTCTAAGTACTCTTGATCTCCTTGACATTTGAAAAAGCATATATGATTCGTTAGTGTCTGTCCAGTCGGATACACTGGCCCTGCTTCGGAGATCCTGCAAAAGATTATCATGTTAACCTATTTTAGTGTTATTTAACACCCTCACTTCTCCTTCGTTAGGATGAAATATGCAGCATAATCTTCACCTCAGACAAGCTTAGCAGATCTCTCGGCCCGATACAGTCAAACATGCGAATTGACATGTTGCAAAGATGATCACGTCAACCTACTGTCTAGTGCTTATTTAATACCTCACTTCTCCCTCACTAGAATGAAAATCTGCAGCATATTCTCACCTCAGACAGCTTAACAGATCTCTCGGGCCGATTCAGCCAAACATGCGAATTGACATGTTGCAAAGATGATCACGTTAACCTACTGGGTAGCGCTTATTTAATACCTCACTTCCTCACTGATGAAAATCTGCAGCATATTCTCACGCTGAGGCTGCTTAACAGATCTCTGAGGCCAATTCAGCCAAACATGTAAATTGACATGTTGCGAAGATGATCACGTCAACCTACTGTCTGTGCTTATTTTCATACCTCATTCTCCTCTACTGTGATAAAAATCTGCAGCATATTCTCACCTGACTCTGTTTGACAGGTCTCTCAAGTCGATTCAGTCTGCCAAAAGTGCCAATTGACTTGTCTTTTCGCCGCGTGACAGGCACTCAATGCGAGTTTATTTTAACGCGCGACATCTTCTGTCTTCTCGACTTTCCGTTCTCTTAAAGTGACTCGGCAAATGGAGTCGAGTTTATTGTCTTTGGATTATTTTCTCTTGAATTCCTGTCCTTGAATTCTAGTTTTTGTATTGTAGATTTGGATTTTTTTTTTTATTCTAGTTTTTGGAATTCTCGTTTTGAAATGCGGTCTGTAATTTTTATTTTTGTTTTAATTCTGGCTTATGTATTTTAGATTTCAATTCTTTTAATCTTGTTTTTGGATTCTACGTAAATTGGTTTCTGAATTCTGGTTTTCGAATTGTAGATTTTGTGTTCTATTTATTGAATTCTTGTTTTGAGTTCTAATTTCTATAAATCTTTGATTTGATTTTTTTTTTCTACATTCCATTTTTTTTAATTCTTGCATTTGGCTTGCAGTTTTTGAAGCTTGTTTTTGAATTCTTGTATTTTAAAATACATTTTTACGTTCTAGTTTTTGAATATATGGGTTTGCATTCTTTGTTTGGAATTCTTGTTGAATTCTAGTTTTAAATCATTGTTTTTGAAGTCTTATTTCGAATTGTAATATTTGAATTCTTCATTTCGAATTCTAGCTTTTTAAAATCATATTTGCAAAATTCTAGTTTTCGCATTATTGGTTTTGAATTCAAGGTTTGAAATACTGTTTTTGAGTTGTAGATTTTGGATTCCTGTTTGAATTCTTTTCTGAATTAGAAATTCTAAATATTAGTTTTTGACTTTTTGTTTTGAAATTGCAGTTTAGAATTCTAGTTTTTGAATTTCTGTTTTTGAATTCTAGTTTTCGAAATTATATTTTTGACCATCATAATAATACTTTTGTTTTTCGTTGTTGTATTGATAATTTTCTATGTGTATACACACTGATAATATATATATATATATATATATATATATATATATATATATATATATATATATATATATATATATATATATATATTATATTATATATATATAATATATATATATATATATATATATATATATATATATAATATATATATATATATATATAATATATATATAATATATATATATATATATATATATATGAGTATTATACACATATGTATATGAATGTGATTATGCAAATTTTTTATATGAGTATCCAATACATTATAAAGGAAGAGAGAGAGAGAGAGAGAGAGAGAGAGAGGAGAGAAGAGAGAGAGAGAGAGAGAGAGAGAGAGAGAGAGAGAGAGAAGAGAGAGAGAACAAAGACAGAGAGAGAGGCATATGTTATGTACGTGATTCTATGTGTGTGCTGTTATTATCATTATAATGAGTGTGTATGTGTATATGTATTATTATTATATTCTGGTCTCAGTTGCGTGGTGAGTGAGGCAGTTGCCTCATTTCCTTCAGCAACTGTGACTGGCCACAAGTCCCGTTCTCAGGCGTCTTGGCTTCCTTCAGGCCCCCGGTCCATCTCAGGCTCCAACTGAATTTTCAATATCTTATCGGAGAGATTCGAGAACCTCCGGGCGAAGGAATTCCTGTGGCATGGCAAGCTTAGGGTCGACGGCGAAAGGCTTCTTTGTTCCGGGTGTGGTCGTCCCCGATTCCCGGAGGAGTGCTTCCAGCGCTGCCTTTAGTTCATCGGCAGCCATTTGGAGAGCATTGTCCTGGTCTCGAGCCAGGTTAGACGAGAAGGTCCTTATGGCATCATAAGGACCTTCGGGCTCGTGAACGACCTCCGGGGCCTCCTTCTTCGTCTCGACCTCCTGTGCCTCCTTCTCGGTCTCGACCTCCGGGGTCTCCGTCTCGGGGTCTCCGTTCGGGCTCGACCTCAGGGCCTCCTCTTCGTCTCGACCTCCAGGGCCTCCTTCTCGGTGCTCGATCCTGTGGCTCCGTCTCGGGCTCGACCTCTAAGTCCTCCTCGTCTCGACCTCCTGTGCCTCCTCTCGGTCTCGACCTCCTGTGGCTCCGTCTCGGGCTCGACTCAGGGCTCCTTCTCGGTTCGCCCTCCTGTGCCCGTCTCTCGACCTTCTCGGTCTCGGCTCGACTTCGGGGCTCCGTCTGGGGTCGACCTTCGGGGGCTCCGTATCGGGGTCGGGGCTCCGTATCGGGGTCCCTCCGGGGCCTCCGTCTCGGGGTCGACCTCCGGGGCCTCCGTCTCGGGGTCGACCTCCGGGCTCCGTCTCGGGTCGACCTTCGGGGCTCCGTCTCGGGGTCTCCAGGTCCTCGTTCGGGGCTCCGGGGCTCTGTCTCGGGGTCGACTCCGGGTCGACCTCCCTCCGTCTCGGGGTCGACCTTCGGGGCTCCGTCTCGGGGTCGACCCTCCGGGCCCTCCGTCTCGGGGTCGACCTTCGGGCGCCTCCGTCTCGGGTCGACCTCCGGGGCTCCGTCTCGGACTCGACCTTCGGGCCTCCGTCTCGGGTCGACCTCCGGGCCTCCGCTCCGGACTCGACCTCCGGGGCCTCCGTCTCGGGGTCGACCTCCGGGGCCTCGTTTCGGGTCGACCTCCTGTGCCTCCGTTCGGACTCGACCTTCGGGCTCCGTCTCGGAGTCGACCTCCGGGGCTCCGTTTGGGGTCGACCTCCTGTGCCTCGTCTCGGACTCGACTTCGGGGCCTCCGTCTCGGGGTCGACCTTCGGGGCCTCCGTCTCGGGTCGACCTCCGGGCCTCCGTCTCGGGGTCGACCTTGGGCCTCCGTCTCGGGTCGACCTCCGGGGCCTCCGGTCGGGGTCGACCTTCGGGGCCGACCTCCAGGGGCCTCCGTATCGGGGTCACCTCCGTGGCCTCCGTTCGGGGTCGACACTCTCTCGTCTCCGGGTCGACTCCGTGGCTCCGTCTCGGGCTCGACTCCAAGTCCTCCTTCGTCTCGACCTCCTGTGCCTCCTTCTCGGTCTCGGGCTCGACCTCCAGGGCTCGGTCTCGGGCTCGACCTCCGGGCTCCGTTTCGGGGTCGACCTTCGGGGCCTCCGTCTCGGGGTCGACCTTCGGGGCCTCCGTCTCGGACTCGACCT